TGATCATTCAACATAAACTGAGAAGAAAAAAATTGAGGAGCACTATCGAACAAGTCATAAAAAATGCCTCAAGGCCACCCAAGATTTCCAACTATCTGATCTTCAGTTTGATAAAACGATGTTGAGAAAAGGTAGCCTGATGGCACAGAAATACGAAAACGACTCATACATTGGAACATTAGGCAATCATATCAAATTGTAGGCAAACTTAGTGACTCGAGGAATATCAAGTAGAACGCTCTTTCTTCCCATAATCTTCTGCTTAAACAAGATTTAATAAGCCAGTGGTAAAATGGCTCCATTCCTTAGCTAGGACGCAACTATTTTCAGTGGAAAAACCGGTACAATATGGAGGAATGGGAGTGATGATTGTTGAAAACGGCTCTCCCCAACTCTCTGCAACGCATTCCTTTTGCACTGCTCCAAACTGTGAGTACCGCCTTTCCTTGACACTAAATGTGTCAAATAGAGGTGAAAGCGGATGTAGTGACAAAAAATCGCTTCTGCGATTGCAGTAACGACAAGAAAAACAAATTGAAGGTCTTTTAAACAATCTTAACTTTGCTCTAGCAAACCCGCACGTACTCGTACGGTTGGCCTCTATTAAGTGGGACCTTGACCCTAACTCATATTGGGTGGTGAAACAACCTAACCTCATTTCCATTTCAATGCATTCTGTTTCGGTTTGTAGACGACAAATAACGATGAGGCGATAAGTATGTACAATGTGAAAAATAGAATCGAAGAAAGATAGAGCATTCTTATGTCACTTCTTCAACGTGAAATAGAGGTATTATGAGCTTCAAAGTGCTAGAAAGCCCAAATGTAATGCATGGAACTGACGCGGGCATGTTTCCCATAGAACAATCCCATCTCAATCAAAGGTGGAGAATCGAATGTCGATGTAAAGCAGAAACTAGAAATCATAGCAAAGGTATGCTAGAGGTCAGCCTCGAATCAGCACACAAATCAACATTGAAGGTGACTATACAAATTAAATACGGTTTACATACAAAACACATTCAGGATTCTATTAATATACACCCAAGTGTGCTAAAATCACTACCTCAAGCTTTGAATGTTACCTGTCAGCTTCATGTTCATCACTAGAGCAGAAGAAGAAGGAAAACGCTTTTCAAAATGTATAAAAAGATGGTCTTTGCCTCTCACCTCATGATAGCTCTCAATGAAGTGATGCATCTGTTCCACCTCCTCTGAGCTGATCATCTTCAGAACGTAATGCCTATTGTACGTCACCAGTAGTTTGGAGCCCGACTTACTACTCACACTGTCCCACAATGGTTGGTAACGTGTGAATGACTCCTAAACGAATAGTCAGTTAAGGTTATTACCTACTTACCCAGTAGTCATTCGTATCCACATTAAACCTCTCTCTCAGGTTTTGGAATGCCAGTGGACAGTACTCTTTGAATTTAAACCGACTTGGCATATTCTCTCTATGGGCAGAACAATAGTAAATTCTAACCATGCCCTACTTATTAAACAGATGTCCCTTAACTTTAATTTTGAGATAGGCTTTAAAATCGTCCTTCAATAGCACCGCACGCGGTTTCATATGTTGTAGAGTAGTAAGAGAATGATTGATACCCCACATGAGGACACTTTTTAAGGGTTCGTTGGCGCGAAAGAGCTTCAACTTCTGTCGGCCGCCCTTCAGCTTCTTTTGCTTCGACTGGGTAGCCATACCTACGAGAAGTAAGAGGGTAGATGCGTTAAAATAGTAACTGTTCAAGATTTGCTACATTCAATGAAAAAGGAGAAATATTAAATATCCACGGACTTATAAAGCTGAACGCCTCACTTTGACAACTTTAAAGTTGTCTTGTCTTTACATTTAGAAAAAGAAAAAATCGTAAATACAGATGCTCAAAATGATGCTGCCCTTAATTCGAGGGATCCAGCTTAAATACACTCAGCACTATGGAGTCAATATGTTAAATCTAAAATACTCTGGCAACAG